GTGTGTGTGTGTTTGTGTGTGTGTGTGTGTGTGTGTGTGTGCTGGCTTTGCTCGACTCTCTCTGTCATATGCTTTGTAAATCAGTATCGTATCAGTTTTTTTGTGTCCATGCTCGCTTGGGTTAAAACTGAAAGCAGTCTACTGACTCTACTTTATGACACCGTGCATGTGCTCATGTCACGGCATGTGTGTGGGGGGGGAGAGGGGGGAGGGAGAGGCCCGAGAGGGGAGAGGGGGGGGGCGAGGTGGCAGTGTGGGTGTGGTTGTGACTCCATGTGCTCATGTATACGTGTTCTGTAATTGTGTGATGGACTGCAGGAACTAGCTGGAGGAAGAAGCAGCGATCATGAAACCGTCCGTGGTGATTGCGGTCCTTGCGGCCGTGGCGTTCGCCTTGCTTGTTGCGTATCCCTCCGAGGTAGCCGGCTACAGTTGCACTCCCACAACTGATCAGAACGCACATACTTTGAAAAAGATCGACTGCATAAAGGAATACGGCGCAGCAAGCCTGTCGGGATGCCAAAACCTGTGCTCCCAGAACTACAGGTGTAAGGGCCTCGTCTATGCCACCGCCAACTGGCCAAACAGCAAGTACTGCTGCTTCCTCAAGTCCAAAATCGACAATAAGAAGTGGGCTTACCAGAGGGACCGCACAGTCTGCTACTAAGTGCAACGGAAGACAACTGAGTTCAGCACACCACCGTTGCGATCCCTCTTCCCAGGTTTGACTCGTCGTCATCGTGATGAAGTGACATTGAGGTCAGGGCGTTACGGGTGGGGATAGCCGGCTGTCATGTGTTCATAATTACGACGTCGCTTTGATGCGATCATTAAGCGGATAGACCCAAAGGGGGGAGCTATGGAGCTAGGCCTGATGAAGGTTTATTAAGGTATCATGCGTGTAGAACGCCAGGTTATCTATTAATGGGAAACCGTACTAACACTCGGCAAACAGCAGAACTCTGTTCAGCCCGTGGACTTGCTTGGTTGAAGTCTTTGCACCTGCTGCTCCTCTTCGGATGAGAGAGAGAGAGAGAGAGAGAGAGAGAGAGAGAGAGAGAGAGAGAGAGAGAGAGAGAGAGAGAGAGAGAGAGAGAGAGAGAGAGAGAG